TTTGTAGGACGGGTTCCTGCACCCCGTCGACGACGTGCTCTTGGAGATAAGCGTAGTACGGCATGATTTTGATTCGGTCGGGGTTGGGTGTTGTCCGGTGTATATCTAGAGATATTGTTTTCAATAATGTCGAGATGGGTGAGAAGATGTTAACAAACGAACAAAGACCTTGATCGGATAGTTTATGATCTTGACAGGTAGACGACAGGATTATAGGGTTATTTTATATGCGTAGGCACATACTCGATTATGTTGCCTTTAGGGGATGTCCCCATGCTGCATGGGCGAGTATATAGGGCATTTGCAGCGGATTGGCATCTTCCACAAATGTCAGTATAACGACACCAGATGCTTGAGCTTACATTCTTTGTGTTCTGCGAAATGATATTTTTGTACTACAATACATCTATTTAATCTTTGTTTCGATTCGGAACTAATGGCTGTAAGTTACATGCTGGTTACGGATATTTGCATTGAAGATGCCAATGTGCATGAAGACTAGCAATCCGTTAGCTTTTTTGTCATGTTGGGATAGTCAATGATCTAACAATGACTCTGCTAGTGTCACTGTAGAAGCAAAAGGGCCTTAAAGCTCATCTAACAAACGGAATTGACCGTCTTACTGCCAGCAGTACATGTGACAACTCCAAGTATATTCCAGCCTACTATTCGCTGGCATGCCCGCTATTGATGGCATTGCGTGGAAAGAGGGAGCGTTTTGCTTTGGCTGGGCTTGTTTAGAAGGAGAAATATTATCGTCCGTGGGACTTACCGATTTTGAAATATCGCATTGCCGTTTTGCAGAGGCAGTTAGCTTCCACGACACCTCGCACGTGGGTTCAGCTTTGGAGGGAAGGGAGGGAGGCTGCGAGTTGGTTAAACTTTTGCAGGTAGTTTTGCAGTCTGCTCAGAAATTTGTTCAGCAGGGTGTATTTGGTGGGTTCAATTGGGACGTTTGCGATTATTCGAGGGCTTTCTGTACAATTGTTCTCTGGCTGTGTAGTAATATGTCAAGTGGGAAGTCCTATTCGATACTTCTTTCCGCCCAGCTTTGCACAACTCCTCGAGCTGTGGGCTCGTACTCCTTCATCTTTACATCATCACCGACAAGGTAAGTATTGGCCTGGCTAAACACCAGAGGAGGATCCTTCTTGGAGACAACAATATCTCTCCATTTCAGAGCTTCATCGTCAACATGCGATAAATCCTCATAGAAACGGCGACAGTTGGAGATGTCAGCGGTGCAACGGTAGATATGAAGTTTCAGGAGCATGCGACCCAGTGATGGTTTGCCATGAGAGATTACTCGCGATCGGTCAACTTTGACCGTCAAGCTATTCTTATCCAGATTGCTCGTAACGCTATAGAGACCGTCACTGTCGCGGAGGAGGTGCCGAAACATGGCATAATGTGCCTGAATTGGAGTTAGGGGAGCGTTAGCATAGGAAGATTATAAACTAGACTTACTCGACTATGTGCTTGTCCCCATTTCTGTCATCGGTTAGCACCACCTTCAATATCCGTTATGTCTTGACTTACTTCGGTCGTGGGATCGTAATTCTCAAGGCCTCGAAGTCCATCGACGCCCAGCTGAAGATACATGTTGAAGGCGACTGTAAGTAACGGTCTTAGCTTCAATCTTCTGGCTTCTACAGGGCGACTTACTGTCATCAGGCTTGACATCGCTTTGGCCTGTGTAGCCAAAAATGCTCAATATTTCTAGATCATCGATCAAATAAGCGCCGACGAGTTCTGCTCTGCATTCATCCACTGTTGTTGCAAGGTCATTGAACACCCCCGTCCATGTTTGCCCAGCTCGATACCAGCTTTCCACGGGTTGTCCAGTAAAGGGATCCAGGGGTGGATTTTCCGTGTCGAAATTGAGATCACCGTCAGAAGATTCAGTCAAGAACCTTCCCGTGCCATGTCCGAGGATCTCATGCAGCACGACCCAGATGTAGTAGGCATGGAACCGATGCTTCTTGAAAGTGTCTTGTTCTGATGCGTCCACCATGTGTAAACCGCGAGATCGACTACTCTCAGACACCATGCGGTTACTGAAGATGATGTTTTTGTAGCCCGTATCTTGTCGAATGTCATTATACTGCTAGGACTTAGCGATATGCAATGACTTTGGATGGGTTACTGACGTTTGGAAGGTTGATTCCTGGGAAAATGATACTCGAGCAGTATACAAGACCTAGACGTGTCAGCTTCAGGGTATGGTTGGGCATATGGAAGCTCACTGTTGATGCTTGAGAAGTCAGGTGGCTCAAATAATTCCTTTTCGTAAGGGCCCTTGCTGTCACCGGTACCTTCAACCCAGGGAAGTTTGTAGACCAATTGATTCGCTTTGGTTGCAAGCGTATTCAATATCTCGGTTTCGGCAACATCCGGTATTCCGACTATCCCTTCAAACTCTGCACGAACACCTAATGGATCGCGATATGGCTCGACAAAGCCTATGGCTGTTTCAACCGGAGGGGCCTTGTCATTCACCCATATCCTCAGTGATTCGCGGTATGCTTCGAGGCTTCCAGTTTGGAAGCTATCAATTATCTGCCGCAACATTTCCACTTGAGCAGCATTTGATGCGTATGGGATGGCTTGTTGCAAACAATCACAAACCCGTTTCAATTCTTCCTTGTGGTCTCCTTTCATCAAAAATACCTTCTTATCGGGCGCTCCCGATCCACCAAATCCTTCCAATGCCACCTTGTCCTCTGCCGCAGATGCTTGCATGACATCATAGCAACGAGTATCAGAATCTTGATATGCCTTTAGTCGAGTATTCTCAGGCAAGATTGATTGATCCTCCATGAGTTTTGATATCATGGCAATATCCTCTGAAGTCTCAAGGCAGTCCTCACCCAAATAATATGATGACTGGGTAAACGGTCCAGGGTGGCCTAGACTGCTCGGAAGAGGGCTGATCATTGGTTCCTTGATCTGCCCAAGTAGTTTACTCGCCGACGAAGATACTGATGCTAGAGACGTAAGAGTCTCCTCGGATACATCGGGCGTAAACTTTTGATCGCCGGACCCCTAGAGAAATAAGAAAAGGATCATCCAGTGGTCAGGATATTCCTCACAAAGTAATTGCCAACATTGGATAGGAATATAGCGGCATAGTCCAGGAAGTTCTCTAGTTCTTCAACGCTGACCCCAGTTTTGGTGGCAAGTTGTTCCCAATTCCCGTCACAGCTATGGTGAAGGGCCATTATAAAGTCGAAAATGCCATTGGCCTCTAGAGATACTTGACGGAGGATGATTCGCGTGCCATTCCAGGCAGCCCTTGTATGCAACATGTCAGAAGTTATCGCTGCGCGTTTGTGGGTGGACATGTGTGGTACTTCGCCATGTGATGAGCATAGAGCTTTTCCTGTGGGCTCAAACCGTCAAATGCGGCGCCCACCGACAGTTGGTATACCTGAGGCTTGACCATTGCTGTATTTGGTACTCAATTGACTGCGTAGCTCGAGCGAATACCATAGTAGATCATGTTGCTTTCAACGCGAAACATTATTGTATGACCCCGCACATGTGACTTCGCGCGAGAAACCATGCCATCCTGATAAGGAAACGCATTTGATTGGCTGAAAAACACAGTATCAATTTGAAAATTCACAATAATCAAATCATCTGTTACTATTATATTATGCAAGCAAACATGTCAGTACTCGTCATATTTCTATTGCCTACTGCCTTGATTTACGGTTGCTTCCGGACCCGCATCATTGTGGAGGGTTTGCCAACCCCTAAATTGGCTTGACTTCCATGAGATAAGCTTCACGATATTAGTTAGATAAAATATCCATCAGACCTCAGTATGTTGCGCCATAGTATACGGAAACGGAGAGACCGAAGGCATGAAGGCATATGTGGAACCCCACATTTCTTGCGGGGCTGTCCCCGAGCATCCGCGGGGATTTTCAGATACCTCCGCTCTATCCACAGGGACGACTTGGCTACTCATACATTCATGGCCCATGAGGAAGCCAATACAGATCTCACATATTACAATGTACTGAAGCCAACTCATAGCCCAACACATTCTACTTCCACAAGATGTCAGCATCCCTATTTAGACAAACATGCTACATCCCACGTCCGCGAATCACTGTCTCCCATGTTGTGTCTCGAAGATTCATCGGATCTGTTAGTGCAGTTTGCTCAGAAATCCTCCGGACTCTATTCGGAATTGAAGAAACATGCAAAGTATCCGACGATAAAGCGTACATCAAGTGGTGCGTGGACGCCAAAGCCGCGCTCGCAAGAGAGTAACTCTGAAATTTCGTGGGTCGAAGCTGGACATGGAGCGTCTTCGTCATGAGACGACAAGAGTGGTAGAAGATGTTCTTGCTTTTGGTTAGAGCGTATCCTTGTCCATATGTATTACTATCTGGATCATCCCGGTGGCATAGGCTGCGCACCATGCAATAAACACCTCCAGCTATGCCCCATAACACCCACTACCAAAAATAAGCTTCAATGATACGGTCCCATACTCCCAGATCCATCATAGAATGGCTCCACATTCACGTAGGCGGTAGCCCCGCATTGGAGGAGAAATGGATTGTGGGGGATATACTACTCTTAATGCGGGGTCTGATGAAATTCAATATTCTAGGTTTATGACTGGGACCTTTTACACTCTCAGATCACTATGAAAATGCTTTCACCTCGCCAGCAGCCATGTGGGTCTTTCCTCGGCCATTAATACCCACACCTCATCAACTAGCCCCCAATATGCTGGCTTGCTCCACATACCCATCATTTGGACGTCGACAGCTATCATGGGATTATGAGGGGCCTTTTCAAACCCTCAGGTTATGCATTGACGTATGTCTTGATCATGTTAATCAGTTACTATTGCCATCATACATTTAAGGACTCTGTTGTTGCTGCTGTATCTATACAACTTCAGTCACGGAAGTCTTAATCCATTTACTCGTTAATACAACTATATTAGCTTCTCCAGGTCCCATACTTCTTCCATAATGCAGGCACCCACATCCAACCAACGAAAACCCATCAAAGACCTGACTAAAGTGTTCCACTACACAGACACCATGACTCGGATGCCTACCCGCGACAATGACCCATACGAATACATGGCTGGGTTTGGGAACCGCTTTCAGTCAGAAGTCATCCCAGGGATTTTACCAGCCGGTCAAAACAATCCACAAGAACCGCGTTTTGGCCTATACACCGAAGGCCTTACGTACTCTGCCTTCACAGCCCCAAGACATGCCAATTTTAGCACTTATACGTATCGGGTGAGGCCAGCAGCTGCACACAGTATGTATTACCTTCTGTTTTCAAGCCGGACCAATGTTCCTAATTTAGTGAAGATGGCTATAGGAAAGATTATGAACACAAATCACACATCGAGAACTGCTTTCTGACACTTAATCCCAAAGTGACAACGCTTGCTGGTCAGGCTGAATGGGCACCGTTTCCTCTTCCCAACGATGACGAGAAGATTGACTTTATAGATGGTTTGCACACCCTGGGGGGAAGTGGAGATCCAAATCTGCGAGAAGGCATTGCACTCTATGTCTTCATGATCAATGCAGATATGGACCACCGAGCATATTGTAATACGGACGGTGACTTTCTGATCGTGCCTCAGCTGGGAACCCTCGACATACAAACTGAGATGGGGCTGCTTGTTCCTGCAACCCGGCGAAGTTTGTGTGATCCCGCGCGGAAACCGTTTCGCTATTCGTTTGGGCCCCAAGCACAATGTTGCCCGTGCGTACATCGTCGAAATATGGGAATCTCGTTGGGAGTTACCTGATTTGGGACCTTGGGTGGTCATGGATTAGCGAATCCGCGAGACTTTCTCCACCCTGTGGCCCACATTGACGAGAATCTCCATGAAGACTGGGAGATTGTCAACAAAGCAAATGGCCGATATAGTGTCATTGGGCAGGATCACAGCCCATTCGATTTGGTGGCATGGCATGGGAATGTCGTTCCCTACAAAGTATGCAGCAATTATCCTGTGGCTATTATGATAATGTAGACACTGACTGTCGTGCAGTACGACCTAACCAAATTCGCGTCCCAAAATGCAACCTCTATAGATCACACTGACCCGTCCGTGAACTGCGTATTGACTGCCCCATCTAGAGATCCAGTCACGCCATTAGCCGACTTTCTATGGTTTGGGCCACGATGGGATGTGGCGTCCAACACGTTCCGTCCTCCGTATTTCCACCGCAACTCGGCAACAGAATTTCTTGCGTGTCTATATGGAAACGGACTCGGACGCTCTGAGGAGTTCTTGCCTGGTGGAGGTAGTGTTGAGGTCAGCCATACGCCACATGGCAACTTCAGCGATGGATATGTGTGTGAAATGCGCAAACAGGTGAACAAACCTCGGAGAATCTTAGAAAGTAAGACAATGACACAAGACATCAACATCATTGTAATAGATTGCTGACGGCATAGATCAAATGACAATTATGGTTGAAAGTAGCCGGTCGTTCCTGTTCACCGAGTATGCGCGAAGTGGCTGTGGAACTTTTAAGAACCAAGGTCCAGATCCCGAATTATGGGATGCTTTACCTGTACGTCTTTGGTCTCCACGCTGGTTGGAGCAGAGCTGATAATCTCTGTAGGACAAATTCTCCGCGTACCCAAACATCAAGAAGATTCACAGTCAGGTCAAGTCCGATGAAGAAGCATGGAAGAAGCAGCTAGAAGCGTATTATGATGATGATTGGCTGGCGGAAAGGTACATGGACCACAACAAAGCTTAGCTAGGTAAATAGATGTGTGCGTATTAATGCAAGGCTGAGACAGTCAGCTCTGAATCATTCATTTTGGGGGGCTAGCTGGCGTTTTGCGCGCAAGGCGCCAAGCAGCAAGACCAGCTTCCAGGAAGGAGAAGGGTATTGTAGAGATATTTGAAGACGATGCGAAAGCGGTATTTAATACAGGAAAATCCTGGCGAGGACCATCCCATGAAAAATCGTTGATTTGTGTATGCAGAATGTCAGTTTGGTTTGAATAGGATGTCTCGTCTCTTTCAGCCTTGGAGGAAATCAGGCAGATATGTCGCGGGGGTAAAGCTCAGCCTCGCCCTCAACCCCGCCCACTCTTGCCCAAAGTGACGGCCATTCCACCACCTCTTCCGTTGTAGCCTCTTTTCTGTCAAGAGTCTGATCATTGTACAGCCCATCCTACTCCACTTCTTATTTCCACCCCTTTATCTCCCAAGTGGGACGAGAAGAGGAGAGAGATAAACTGATCTCTCTATCCTTCCTGACTCTCTCCTCGCCTGTGCTTCGTGGTCTGACAGCCATCCGCCGTACAGATGATGCCCACAAACTCATCAAAAAGCGACGTGCATTCTCGCCATCAACTGGACCACAAAATAACCCCACGTCACGATGAGTACACCGTCGGGTGGATATGCGGCTCGCCTCTGGATACAGTAGTTGCGACAATGATGTTGGATGAGCTACATCCACAGATGTCGCAAAAGTTTTCGGCTATAGATCATGTTTTCCTTGGAAGAATTGGAGTTCACAACATCGTTATTGCTCGTTTACCGTTGAGCAAATGCGGTGATACTCAGGCAATTGCAGCTTTGGAAAGGGAGATGTTCTCGACTTTTCCTGCCATCCGCTTTTCTCTTGCAGTCGGTATCGGAGGTGGCGTACCAAGGAGCAGCGCCGATATTCGATTAGGCGATGTTGTAGTGAGCCAGCTAACAGGCAAATCTGGAGGGGTGATCAGGTACGATCTTGATAGAGCATCACGCAGGGTCTATTTCCACCGGACCGGATCGCTGAGTGAGATCCCTGAATATCTGTCAAATGCTTTAGTTACCCTCCAAACCGATCACGGCCTTAGGGAGCTTATGGGGCGTGAAATCACCAAAAATATGGCTGAGATTCAAAGAAAAGTATCTTCTTTCGGCAAGTCCTTGAGACCAGAAGAGGACCGTCTATTTCAAGCTGAATATGAACATCTCGCACCCGGTTCGTGTGCGAATTGCGATCGATCCAAGTGGGTAATACGACCTGAACGAGAGCAGGATAAGCCTGTCATCCACTATGGATCCATTGCGTCTGGGGATCAAGTGATGAAAAATAGCCAACTTCGAGATCATATAGGCCAGGTGCTAGGAGTCCTCTGTGTCGATGTGGGGACCACAGGTCTCATGGGTATCGTTCCATGCCTGGTCATTCGGGGCATCTGTGACTATGCAGACTCTCACACAAACAAGGCTTGGCAACAATATGCAGAAGCTGCGGCTGCGGCCTATGCAAAGGAGCTTCTATTGATGGTTCCAGCTCCACGAACAACACAATCTGGTGAGATATTTCGACTCAACGTACACTATTCCTGGAATGCGCCACTAAACATCCTACCCATGTGTAGCGACTCGACCCCTTTCTATGATGTTTCCGCCGCCCCAAGCAATAGGCATCAATAAGAGTGGATATAGCAATCCAACCCGGGAATGGAGTGGACTAAGGGAAAGTACCCTCAGTGCGCCGCCAACGGATTCTGGATATGCATCTACTACCCACCAAAAGATTCCACGCCGAGATGAATATCACACAGAACATGACAATAATGTTCAAAGCTTAGTGTCTGGCGAAGAGAGATTCCCTTATCCTCCGGCGGCAGCTAGCCCGAGAAAGGCAGAAGACGACCACGGCGAAGACACTGAATCTATCTATACAACTAAGTCTAGCATTTCCCCTTCAGATAAGCAGCTCTATATTTCTGAATTGGTCAATGATTTGTTCAGAAAAGCCCAGTATGATCAAGATACCCGAAACCTTCGGGAAAGAATTTACGGTATTCTTCCTCAACTTCTTAAAGCTTTTGCAATGAGATTTGGTCAATCAGGCTCGACTCAGATACACAGGGATATAATGGTGTTCATCCGTCGACATAGAAAGTTAGTCCTTCCCCAAGACTTGGCATCGCCTCCATGTAGAAACTGATAAAGTAGCCTGACAGTGAAATTGCGAATGGGCTGAGAATGAAGTACCTAGAAGATCAGACTGAAACCTATGTGTCCACACATGACGACACCAAAATGGAATTAGGCGACCTCATGGATCTCTGGGACCAACATCTAGAGGATGCAGGTGATGATCTTGCCGTTCCACAGTTCGACAGTGGGGCAGTGAATTCAGACGTTGACGAAGATATACCAATTGAAGATGGTGATGAAAATCTCCCTGAACATACGAAATATTGGGACTTGATTACCGGCAGCCCAGTGTATGAATGGCTAATTGGAAATCTTCGGAGGAAACTTCACCTGCACCCAGCAGAGCCAAATGTTCAAGATGGTATTCGCGACCGAATCCTGGAGATCCTCCCGTCATCCCGAAGAGTCAGTCGATATGACCAGCCAACAATATATCAGGTAGTATTCATTCTCAATTGGGATCCCGCGTCTTTTGTCGCAGAGCAGGAGTATGACATAAGTAAAGAAGGCTTCCTTGAGAAGATAATCACGATTACAGGGTCCAGTGAGGACGCTCAAGCAATGACTTGCTTGCAATACCTCCAGCAAACATGGCATTCATATGGTTCCGATATCCTTCAGCTAGTCGAGGCTACACTGCTTAGTGAGCGTGACTATAAACACAGCTGTACGCTTTCCCCCCATTGATATCCGCGGATGCTTATCATGTCTATAGGTACACTGCCAGACAATACACAACTCGCGGTTTGGACGAATGAAAAGGAGTTTCTAGTTGAAGTCACTGGGATAGAGAGTTCAATTACAGAGATTGGGGAACAACTTGCGTGGCTAGGCTCTGCTCTCCGTTCCTCGCCCCACGACTCTAGGATATTGTACTGCACACCGTTCATCAACAGCGCCAGCCCTTCTCCAGAACCCCCCCAGGCCAAAAAGCGCGAGTCCCGTGCTGGGACTCGTAATGTGACGTCGCTATCTACTGAACAGCTGGAGAGGAAGCGCGCCAACGATCGGGAAGCCCAAAGAACCATTCGTCAGCGGACCAAGGACCACATTGAACGGCTGGAGCACCAAGTGGCCGAGTTGAAAGTCAAGGGGGAACACCGACGGAATGTGGCGTTGGAACAAGAGATTCGAGCTTTGAAGCATCAGCTCGCCCGAGCTAGTAGACAGGAATATCCGGGTATGAGTTATAAAGATGCATCAAACTCAAATCCACAAGCAGCAGCTATCACACGGGTATTATGCGGTATTGATTTCAAGTGTGAGGATCAGGAGCAAACGAGCTCGTCGCCGCTCCTGGGACAATGCTGGCATCACTTGTTCCGAAACCCCACAGTGGTGATGGGCTTCCCAATACCATACCGCTCCAGACAAAATACTGGCCTTGAAATCCCGCTCAACATTTTGGCTGGTCTAGCCCAAGCAACGCAGGTGGATGTTTTTAGAGATAAGCTATTCATCAAAGGATTTTCTAGCTTATTGATTCCGACAGAGTACATCCGAGATCAGGATCAGATGATGTGGCACCTACGTTATAATGTGCATGGAGATCGCATTTCGTATCTGGATGGCATTGGGGCTCATGTCGGACACATCACACTAGCCGATTTGGAGTCGAGCCGACATATTCTTGGTTGGTGTTCAGACGCAAAATTATATACCGGTATGTCATAGCATGATTCTAGGGGTGGAAAAGGGTTTCACAAGCTGACTTGCCACAAGGCGCAACAGATGCTAGTTATTCGATCAATCGATCTTGGTTGGGGCCACCGTCCGCTCGCTGCAGCTTAAACAACACATTGATCACGGCAGGCAGGCTAATCACAGGCGGTGACCCGGCAATATATGGCAACAGAGACATACCGTATCGACTAATTAGGGATGAGTACATTGAAAAGCTCTCGTGGATTGCCAGACAATATGTGGTAATGTGGGATGCAGGAGCCAAACGGGGGTGGTTGGTGAATGGAGCCTGCGCTCTATTGCACCTTCTTTTTGCTTCCCTATATTTCAACAGAACTGATCCACTCGGTTTTGCATTCCAGTTAGATCTTACCGACATTAAAGTCCCAGAGAACACATTCAACCCAAGCTCTGCAATGGAGGTTTTGTTGAACCCTGATAACCTTACTCTGAAACTGTACCACGCGAAACAGAGCGAACCAAGTGAGGCAACTTTACCTCCGGTACGAATTCAAGATAGAGTCGATCGTTTGTATAACATGCTCGAGAAGATCATGGATCATCAAGCAGAGATCATGGGGGCAGGCGGCGGAGCGTCACTCAATATTTCCAGGGGAAACCTGGAAGGATGGGATTTCAAGGATTTAGCGACCCAGGAAGACCCGTTGTATCCTCGGCTTTGTAAGTTGGGGATAAGAGGGAAAAGCTGGGTTGACTTCACTAGAGATATTCGTGCGGCAGTGCTATTCGGGACGGGGTTTGGTGAGATTCTTCGCCCGGTTGATAACGACCAACTATGCCCATACTGGAGCAGATTGCCAGAAGGTAAATCTTACCTTGCAGTCAGTGGGTATGATCTTACCAATATCATCGATCGGTTTGGAAATCCACATAGTAGACCAGTCCGACTGACCCGCAATTTGATTTGGTGCAACTGCCTAGACAATGGCCCCCCAGCTTGCAAGTGCATTGGACTCCCGGAACAGACAGAGCATTCCGAACTGGCACAAGTAATCCTGCCTTCACACTTCAAAAGGAGAATACCTAAGCCGAATTCCGTTCGACTAAGCGATTGGAGCCATGGTGCGATATTATTTGGTTACAACAGAGACTTGCGGTGGACCTGGAACGACACCGGCTACCCTGAACAGAAAGACGTCTTGTCATACTCAGGTGATTCGGGGTCCGATTCAGACGGCGACTTCCAAGACTCAGGACTTGGAACAAGCCTGACCCCTGCCACTGCCGATGGTTCCAGGAGACTGTCATTGTCAAGGTCCCCGTCTGGAGGTATTACTTACGAGGACTACGAGGTAGGCATTGTGTGTGCGCTGCCCAAAGAACTTCTTGCCGTCCGCGCATTGTTCGATTCAACCCACCCTGACCTCGAAAAAGACCGAAATGACCCTAATTGCTATTGTCTCGGACGGATGAAAGAATTCAATGTGGCTGCTGCTGGTCTCCCACACGATGATTATGGCACGAATTCCGCCACGAATGTTGCTTCTCATTTGATCCGAACTTTCCCGCGAGTGAAGTTCTGCCTGGTCGTTGGTATCGGAGGGGGAGTACCTTCTGCAAATCGGGACATACGGCTTGGTGATGTCGTCGTCGGTACCGGGGTGCTACAAGGTGATATGGGGAAATGGATCCAGAACTCCGAGTTTAAGATGACGGCACAGAAACAACAACCACCACCCTATTTACGAGCAGTCATCACGAAAATCCAGTCCAATGGTTTCATTTCCTTCGAGTCCGCTTTGAACCCGCTCCTTGACGATCTTGATCTGATTGCCTCAATGCAACCGAAATACTTATACCCAGGCGCAGACAAAGACATGCTATTCGACGCAGGTGACGTGCACGTTGAGACGGAACCAAATTGTGACAAGTGCATCGGCAGCCGAAGTCCAAGGACTCGACAGCATGACGGCCCAAGCGTTTTCTACGGTCTTATCGCATCTGGTAATCAACTCGTTCGAGATGCAAGATACCGAGACCGCCTGGGACAGGAAAATGTGATCTGTGTTGAGATGGAGGCGGCAGGGGTCATGAGAACCACCACCGACTGCCTTGTCATTCGGGGCATATGCGATTATGCCGACTCGCATAAGAACGATCAGTGGCAGGAGTATTCCGCTGCCACGGCGGCCGCTTACGCCAAATTTTTCCTGTCTCATATGCGCGAAAGCGCTCATGACTTCGCCGTCCGAGTTCCATCACGGTTGGAAGCTCCGACGGGGTCAGTACACTTGCAGAAGGAGAAGCGGGCTGCATCATGTGCTGTCTATGAGCAGCATGTGGAGCTCAAGAGATCTCGACGATACTGAACTCTAATCCATTGCTGATAGAGGTCGATCTAGACGAGCTCCAGATGTCGCCATAATCCAAGGAACGATCAGAGGTGATAATGCCAGAGTACTACGGTTCTACGTGTTTTGAATGGCAGCAAGACGAACAATTGACTCGATATGTACATTCTTAATTTGGGGTTTTCAATAGAGACTCCTATCATTAAGGGGTAATTTTCTTCGAGCCTCCGTTTCAACTCGTTGATGGTCATGCAAACTTTCTAAGTCTATCTGATGCTTCTTAGCTGGAGATGTACATCTGTTGGTGGGTTAGCGAAATGGGATTACCTCTCACCAGGTTTTTGAAAGTAATTCTTCCACGAAGAGTTTCTGATCCAAGTGCTTCATGAACCCTTAACAACTTCCATTGATAAATGCAATACGAGCGATTACCCCAGGATTCCCAGATGCGATGACTAACAATAATCGGGTGTCTCTCATTGGCTGCACTGTGTATCAATCTGGTATCCGTACGGCTACCCCACGGCTCCGGCAGTTCGGCGCCCACACCTTACCCGATCGGGGGGCTGCAGGTAGCCGGTTATGTTTGCGATGCACTCCCCTCACACCACCGTTCTTCTTCTGCTAAGAAATAGTGAGAGCCGACCACACCATGTCCAGCTAATTATTAACTGCTTATTTCTTCTTTTCTACCAAAAACCTCAATAACACCATAATGGTGTTGCGAAAGTGCACCATATGCGATCGACGGTTCAAGAAAACGGAGCATTTCAAGCGCCACGAACGCTCACGTAAGTCAACCGACCTGCATATGGTTGCATCCTGCTGACGACTAGTAGATACCAAGGAGAAACCCTATGAATGTAGTGTCTGTCATAAGCGATTTTCACGAAGGTATCGAAGCCGTGGACTATTTTCACTCCTGCACGTGCTAACACTGTTGCAGTGATGTCCTAAGCCGCCATGCCAGGGGTCATAATCAACCAGCTGCCAATGCAGCGGTTGGACCAGGTGCTGGTCTTCCGGCCACACCTACCAGTCAAGCTCCTGCTCATCGACCATCAATTATGACAGCGGGGAACCAGAACTACGTCCTTGGTATGGGTGCGGAGAGTGCTCGCCCGCTCCAGCATGGTTCGTCGGCACCTCACAATTTTACATCGTCCGCGGCTCTCGATCAACAGTCGACTTCCTTGGCCTTTCTTGCCAACGTATCTGCTCATCAACCTCGCACTGAACCAGTAGCTAATCAGATCATGGCAAATGAGCACCAAGGTTACCTTGGCTGGAATGACGTGCCTGTTCCGGACCAGCAATGCTACCGAGGGACAGTTCTTGATCCATTGCATAACGACATACTGCAATTCTGGCTGGAACCGCAAGGGGACTCGATCTCACAGCAAGGATCAATCGACCTAAGGGGGAATTCTAATCTCGGCATGTTAGGGGAGACAGTTGCTTCTTCAGAGCACCCACGACCATCTATTGATAGCATGAGCTTGAGCTCTGGAAGTAGTATTCCAACTGAACGGTTTGCCCGTGTTCAGCGCTATTGGCTTGCTCCATCCAACAACACTGGGCGGCTCATGAACAGCTTATGGCATGATGTAGCCTACAGCGAACAGGACAATGTGTTCGCTTTCAGGCCAACCCACTCTTCCAGCGCCCCGTCGGGTTGCCTGCAGGGTTCGAGGTACGGCGTCGATGAAGAATGCAGGCAGCGTCTTTACACAATGTTCGACCAAAGCCAAGGTCAATCTCAGATGCGTTCTTCTGAGGCTACTGCAGTCTCGCCCTTTACCCAACCACATCGCACCTCCAATTTTCCTCCTGCGGAAATTCTGGATATGGCACTAGATCTGTTCTTCCGCGACTTTCACCCACTAGTGCCGTTTATCCACATCCCAACATTCTCAGCAAAAGACGCCCGTCCATCCTTGCTCTATGCCATGTGTCTCATTGGCATGGTCCTGTTGGGAACCAAAGGCACGTTAAGCTTCGTTGTCAATAACTTCTCGGTATGATCAGCTCTTATATGCAGTGTGCGTTGCTAATATGCTGTAGTCCATGCTTGGAAGTATTACAGCAGAATTAGCCAAGTGTTCAGTTGGAGTCGAGGGTTCTTTGTCCACCGTGTCTACTTTTGCAGCTGCATTTCTGTTTTTAAATTTGGCTGCCATGACAGGAGTAAGTTTTAATTGAGAAAGAAATTGAGTTATACTAATTTCTGTAGGAAAAGGAACATCTTGAAAAGTGCCAAATGCTCTATGTTAATCTCATATCGGTATGCCATTCAATCAGAACCATAGAATACGGCTGACACACTTATAGATCGCACAGCGGCACGGACTCTTCGCAGCTAGGGAAGGGCAGGTGCTTGACACGCACCTGTTCGAAGCCGTCCCTAATACTGAGACTCGGTGGAAAGCCTGGAGCAAGGTAGAATCAGTAAAACGGTGAGTTGAACAATCATTCAGAAAAGCATTTGCTGACATCACAGGCTTATAACTGGACTACTGCTGCTCGACTCTTGGTACTCATCGTTCATGTCTACGAGTCCGATTATCGTGCCAGACTCTGTTCAACTGATACTGCCGTGTGATGAAGCGCTCTTTCGAGCTACATCTTCCACGCGCTGGATGCAGCTAAGCGGTAGCGACAAAGTCAGCTTGATGCCTACGATACTAATGCCATCGGAGAATGTCGACATTCCCACACTTCGCAGCCCGATAGATGATTTCTGCATGTATGCAGTTCTAGCAATGGTTCAGTCGAGGCTTTCAGAAGCATACTATCGACTCCTTTCGAATCGTGCCAGCTATCCCTTCGCCCCGTGCAACACATATGCCATGGACGGCCGTGCAAGATGCCTGCCATCTCTTCAGCTCCAGCTGACAAGCAAATATGGCGACTTGCTAGACCGGCTGAACCCCAACGCGGCCGTCATGTGGCACAATATGTGCATGACGCTAACAGCAGACACCCAAATCTTCGACATGGCAGCTGGCCGTTCAGGCCCGGGCCCTGCCCGAAAAGCGCTCGATGATATCGCGGCATGGTCACAAACACCGGCTGCCAGACGAGCTTGCTTGCATGCAGCACACATCTACCGAGCCATGACGAATAGGAAGGCATCAGACCATACAATGTTTCATTCTGTATTCTCCCTCTTCTACGCGGCGCTGGTGTTGGGTCTTTACGTTTTCATGGTGCCAAATACCTCTGAGATGCAGCAGGGTGGAGATTCCATCGAGCTTTTTGATGATATTGATTGGCAGAAGGTGGGCACTGAGGGGTTCACCAGCTTCTTGGAGCCTGGAGAAGGCCATCCTTTTCCGCCGTCTGAAGAACCAGCGTTGAATTTTATTCGAAACGGCGGCACGATATACCTACGCGGTGTACCCATCCAGGGAGGCTATCAAGCAGCGCGCCGCATTCTACTCGACTACGCAGGACTGCTAAAGGATACGGGGAAATGGAGCGTACGAAAGTTTTCGTATGTGCTGCATATTATGAGCGATGTGCTAATGGATGTGGAATGACCACTACACCAGAACTGAAGCCATCAACTGCGTTACGATCTCATTTATGAATACGACAGCATGTATACCAATCTATGTACAATATAATAACCCACAAATAGGGTATTGATTTATACCCACGACCGATTCCTAACCCTCTCATTCAACATATCCAATTCCTCCTTCGACGCAACCACCCCCATGATCCCTTTACCATCACCCTCCCCACCAGCACCATCATCATTCTTCCTCTCCCCCGCCAAGACAACCCTCAACCCATCATCCCCATTCACATCCCCATCTTCATTATTCAAGCCCCTCCCCCTCGCAAACCACAACCCCTCCCCATCCTCCCTTTCACTCTTCACCTTCACAACACCCCCATTCTCAACCTCTTCCACAACCGCCCTCTCCCCAGCACTACTGCCCCCCTCTGACGCCGTCTCCTCCTCACTCTCCCCCGTATACTTCGCCACACTAATCCCATTACACCTGGCATTCGGCATATGCAGCACGTCATGCAGCACAAGGGTGTTCGTGCGCGGGTCATCCGGTGCACGTTGCACGCGGAGCTGCACGGTTCCTACGCCTAGCACCCGCTGATTCGCGATCTTGCATGGTGCTCGCCGGTAGCTGCTGAATGAAGAGCGGTTTTTGGCGATGTGTGTGTTGCTTTGTCGGGGGAGGAGGAGCCAGGTGAAGCAGCGGTTGCTGTTGCTGCTTTTGGATGAGGATGGGGAGGAGGGTGTGGGGTGTTGGTGTTGGCGTTGGCGTCGGTTTGGACGTGAGCGTTGCTTTTTCGTTTGAGTGTGGGCGTGGGCGTGGTTGGGGATAGTGTAGGGGTGGTAGGGGTTGTAAGAGGTGTGATGGTGAGGATATGGTGGGTGTTGTAGGTGGGTGGTCATTTTGGATGGAGTATGTAGTATATAGAATATAGATAGCAGTGGTGGTACTTAATAGAAAAGAAGTATAGGTGAAGAGAGAAGTATAAAGTAGAGAAAGAAAGTAGTCAGTCCAATCTTTCACGTAGTAAAGCAAAGCATGATAATATAGATCGAACTACCAAATGACCAAGGGAAGAATATCATATCATATAAGTACTGAAGAGTATCGAACACGCGTAACCGTCGATCCAAGTCCGGGTCTGGACTTTGAGGGGATCGGGGATCTGCTGGCAAAGGGCGTGGCAAACCCGCCCTTCCGTATCGGGTAACTCCTCGCTGATTGTTCATTCTAGATTCCTTCATATTTCCACCCATCAGTCTACTATATTTGACTAAAATGGAAAATGGATGTGATCTGTCATTTCAGGTACACTATTCTCTCTTACAATAAAAATGAATTTCCTACTTACAATACTGTGAAACAGATGCTATGTCTGAAGGGTATGTATCTATCTGCCACAAGTCTTGACGTAGCCGATGGAGAAGCTTAATCAGAGGTGGAGTCCAACGCGTCGTCCTTGATGGAGTTCCAGCCATGCTAAGCCTGCGGAACAAGACTTGATCGACCTTGGTTATGTGAGGTCTTTTGTTCGATGATGGACTGCCAAGTTCGCCTTGTAGGCTTGTCTAGACTTTGTGTGGTATTCTTTGTCTGCGTGTTTCACACTCATGCTCCACTCCGATATACAAACTATGTATATTCTCCGACTAGTATGTACGCAACCCCAGTCTGCATCTACTATATACGTAAAAGTAGTAGTAACTATCTAAGCATATAAAATATCCCTCACCCTCTCCCCAATGGCCAAACAACTCGTCAACCCAGGACTCTCAATGCCCAACAAATTCACAAACCCAGGAAACCCTTCCTCCTCCTGAATCACAAAATCCTGAAACCCTTTCCCCGTATTCACCGCCCCTCCCTTCCCCAACTTAGGCCGAATCCCACAATAATCCAAAGCGATCGCCTCAACATCCACATTAGGCAAATACGCCCTGATCTCCGGCAACGCTTGCTGCAACCTTGCCGGACTCGGCCTCAAATCACTTGGATCCTCCACCCACTCGACATCCGGCCCAAACCGGATCCTGCCGCCCATATCAAGGGTCAAATGGGTCCCTAGCCCGCCCGTTCCCGGCAACGTAGTCGGATACACCAGCACCGAGGTCTTCGGCGTAGAAGCCGAGTAAGAGAAATACGTCCCCTTGGCGAAATAAGCTTTTCGATGCCGCTCAGCCGGCATCACCATGTTATTGATCACACAAGCCCCATTTCCTGCACTGTTTATCACCGTCTCCGCTGTGATGGTCGTCTCGCTCCCGTCCGCTGACACAGCGCTGATCCGGTATCCGCCGCCCTCACTAGGAGGTAGGGGCTCAATGCCTGTCACCTGTGTCATGAACGCGCAGTCTCCGCCGCGATCTTCGAAATCTCCTTGTAAATAGGTCATTAGGGAATGGCTGTCGATGATGCCGGTTGTCGGGCTCTCCACGATGCCAGCCAGGGCGCGCACTTCGGGTTCGCGCCGCTGTGCTTCTTCCTGGCCTAGGATGCGCGTGGGGACGCCGATGCGTTTGGCGTGTTCGTGCACGCGCAGACAGGCTTCCCATTGTTCTGGAGTTTGGGCGACAATCCATTTCTTGGTGTTGCGGTGCGGGATGTTGTGTTGGGCGCAGAGTGCGTACAGGAGCTCTTTGCCCTTGATGCAGAGGGAGGTTTTCAGGGTGTCGGCGCCGTAGTAGAGGCCTGCGTGGATGACCTATCATTGTGAGATCATCACTTAGCTTTGTTCTTGAGAGTATAATTGTATTGGTGTAATTGGGGTCTGGAAAGCTACCTCTGAATTGCGACTACTCGTCTCCGTCCCCGGCGCGTCATGTCTCTCTAGTAGAATCGTCGATGTGCCCTCTTTCATGGCTAGTTGGCGCGCAACTGCCAGTCCGACGACCCCTGCGCCTATAACCTTGACAGTAGTGTGTTAGATTGCTGCTTGTGTTTCCTGCAAGGACGTAGATAGATGGTGTTGGTAGGGATTGGTTACCGCATGTGTGACGTCGGCCCTGGAGGCGGCAGTGCTGGAGAAGGCACGCCGCGATAGAAGGCGGCCATTGGGAATAGAACGGAGAATACGAGTGGCCATAGTAATTGGGTGACTCCGTGGGATCATTTAGACAATGCCTGCATTGTACGGGGGTGGGTTGTTGGGGTGAGGAGGAGCATTTGAGTGGTGGTTGTTCCCCACGACGGGCGGAGTCGGCGTCGGTGCCGATGCCGATAAGCTCTGCTATTATCGTTATCTTCGGGGATGTTCCTGGCCCGATACTTGGTTGGTGAAGAATGGAACATGGATTTCGTATGCTGATTCAGGGGTATCTGATTGAAATACTTTATGTTCTAACTATATGGGGTGGTCGCTTCTATGGATCATATTATCGTACAGTAGACTATTTGGGCGTGCCATCTCAGGCTATGGAATATACAGTGGCAGATTCAGACCAACCCAGCGGGTCTATCGAAGAATGTCGATCGATTAGCCACGCTTGCCTACGTTCTTGAGCATGTCTTCCAAATGCTGCACGCTGTTAGTTCGATCCTTTGAATTGGAAATGTGGCACGTACCTGTTTCTGTTCGGTGGCTAGTTTGCCATGGGTATCCTGCGTCCGTCAGCACCAGCATCCGCAGCGGATCAATCGACTTACACTAATAATAGCCAGAACAAGTGAGTAATTATTGTAAAGAAACCTCTCCCTCCGTTTGGCGTCGCCGCCAATCCGGCTAAGCTTTGCTAGAAGATTGTCAAACTCTGTGGTCAATCGGCCGAGACTATTGGCCACTGGCTCGTCATCCCCGGCTTCACTGCTCAGCACCAAAATGCCGTGCAGGAGTTGTCCAAAACGCTGAGTGAGAAAATGAGGTGCGGATGACTTGTTGAGATCGTCTCCTCCAGCAAGAGACAATGCGGAGACCGCACTACGGCCGGTGTTCGCTGCTACCCGTTTCAGGGATTCGCACTGCGTGTCCATGATGACTTGGAACCGAGGCCACAATTGCATGTTGGTTCCGTTGACATAGGAGTCGGCCACCGGTACCTTGCGCCGCTGCAATTCGAATGCGGCTTGCTGGTTCAATCGCACGCAGATCAGAACTCCGAGCGCATCTGTAGTCTGCTCGATCAGGTGCTTGGTCAGGGCCTGCCCAAGGGTGAAGACTGGTTCGAAGATCTCAACGGCCTTGCGAGATATCTGTTGGAAGCCCAATGTGGAGAACATCTCGGTCATGAACGAGTATTCGGCGGAAACATTATCTAGGAGAGCAAGGTTGAAGTTTCGGAAAGGGACTTCGAGTCCGTGGAAAGCATTGTCCTCCTCTGCCAAGTAGGAAGATATTGCCATTTGATTACCTGCCCTAAGTATGTCGACTCTCCTGCCGAGAGAGAAGGGGTCGTGCGCCGCAGAACCAGCTCGGCCGCCGGGAACAATATTACCTGTGCCAGTCAGTATCAGTCAAATCATGCACTGAGCAGCAAGCCCAAACACACCTGTTTTATGTGAGGATGGATCCCCTCCTAATACCTCATTCCGATCGCTCGGATAGACCTTGATTTTTTCGAGTGCTTGGTGATACCTTGTGAAATGCGACAGGTAATACCATCGCATCGTATTGATGTACGCCTGGGTGATTTCTCCCGTGAGAGTGGGGTGGGCTCGTGATATGTAGCCGTACAAGTCCTTGAACTTAACCAGTCGCTGCTGCTGGATGATCTGTGCATTGATGTTCGGAGATCGCAGGGCTCGAATTTGAGACACCAGGTAGTCCCGGATCCGCTCCACTGCCTGCATGTCTGTTAGTCAATCTGAAAAGTAAATTTATACCGGAAGCAGTACCTTCTTCTTGATATCACCCAGCAGAGGCCGCACATCTTCGATAGACTTGCTACTATTGGTGCCTGAGGCCTTGGCTTCGATGCTAGCCGTCCGAGTCTCGATCTCGTTCAGAGCCTTCACCCAGTTCTCATCAATAGGTCCCTCCGCCACTAATCGGACGGTCTTCGGAGACAAGCTGATTTCTTCCACAGCAGGTCCAAGCAGCTGTTCAACATTCCGTCGGTTCTCTAGCATCGCATTCAGCTGTATCGAACGAGATTGCAAACTCTCTATTTCTGCTGATACAGCTCCCAATTCATTCTGAAAGTCATTCAAGTACATTTCAACTGACTTGGAGACGTCATCGCAGCCAGTGATTGCCGAGTGCAGGTCCTGGAATTTGTCCCTTTCCTTCTCGAACTGCTGGATGGTCTGGGCGCCGACATCACTTTGCCAGGCTCTTCTAGGTTGTTCTTCCTCCGCGATAAAGTCTTCCAGGCTGAGTCCATGGAAATCAATGTCCTCCACAAGCTCCGAGGGTTTCACTTCCGCGACGGACGCTGGAGAGCTGTCTCTTGTTTTGCCTTGTTTTCCAATGATCCCAATCAAAACCTCGAGCGGATCAGTAACATCGGATGGGCGGGGTCGTGCAGCACTCGGTTTAGGCGAGGAGCCTTCACGCGCAGTCGCAGCGAGGGAAGTAGATGAGTCGTTCGGAGTCGACAAGAGAGACAACGCCGAACCTTGGCGACTGGAGGCGGGGCGATTGTTCTGAGTCGGAGCCAAGCGAGATGAGGTCCTTCGAGGCAAGGGAGAGCTGCTGCGACTATCGAATTGGGGACCGGAGGGCGTCGCATGACCCGAAATGCGGTCTAGCCACATCTTGGGAGGCCGACACGGAGAAGCGTGCGGATAGCGGAGAGCTCCCCGGGTTCATCGAGGGGTGAGGTGGAGAGGTGAGGGAAGTTCTCCCAGAACACAGGTGGGTACTGGGAGATGTTATACGGCAGCGTACATTCGAGAAGACGGAGGTGAAGACCGTAGCCAGGCTGATAATTGTTGACAAGAGGATAACTAGTAGATTGCTATCAAGTACTAACTATAGTGATTAGGAGTATACGTGGAATAGCAGGCCGAGATGCTACGGCGCACTGCAGCAACCGCGGACGTGGTTTGTCCGAGACTAGACCGGACTGGGACTAGCGACCACAAAACCCCGCCACAACCAGTGCCTTTTTTTCGCAGTCCATTTGTCGATTTCTTTTCGCCTGTGTCCCCCTCTTCGTCCTTCCTTCGCTTTTTTCTCTTCCTTTTCCTCTAATCTCCTCCTCAATTCCAACATCCTCCTCACCTCTCCCTTTCACTTTTTACCTCATACCCCCTAAATCCATCACCATGGCTGACGAGGTAGGTGCTAACTCTCCTTCTGCGAACTCCCCGGTCTACTCAGTTGCGGCCTATCTTCGTCCTGCTTGCTCGGTTGGGTTGGGTGTTTTCGGGGCCTCGCATCTCGATCGCTGCCCCCCACCCAACCCCCCTCGTTCCTGCAGACATTGCATATTTCGCTACACTCTTGGACCATCCTCTATCATCTTGATCATGGGCTAGTTCGCTAATCTTCACACTCAATAGCACGAGACCTTCGAGTCCGCCGATGCCGGCGCCTCGGCCACCTACCCCATGCAGTGCTCTGCCCTGCGCAAGAACGGTCACGTTGTCATCAAGGGCCGCCCCTGCAAGATCGTTGAGATGTCCACCTCCAAGACTGGCAAGCACGGTCACGCCAAGGTCCACATCGTTGCCATCGATATCTTCACCCAGAAGAAGCTTGAGGATCTGTCCCCCTCCACCCACAACATGGATGTCCCCAACGTCTACCGCAAGGAATACCAGCTCGTGAGTAGTTCGGATCATGTACAATCTCGATGGACTTGACACGCTAACACGGCTATAGCTTGACGTTACTGACGACGACTTCCTTTCCCTGATGGACGAGGCCGGTAACACCAAGGACGACGTCAAGGTTCCCGAGGGTGAGGTTGGCGACCGTATCCGCCGCATGTTCCACGATGAGGAGAAGGACTGCAGTGAGTAACACCCGTTCAATTTGGATAAGTGGCTGTTGGCATGATTACTGACGAATTCCTTTCCAGACGTCACCATCCTGTCCTCCATGGGCGAGCAGGTCTGCATGGATGTCAAGGAGGCTCCCAAGGGCAACTAAATTATTGTGTCTATGGACCGTTAACTGCTCTGTCATCCATGGTGTATTTGAAGAGCCTCGCTCGGCTTTGCCCTTGGTCAGGTGGATGATACGGCCTTCTGGGCAGCTGCGGCGCCACGTACTCTTATATCCGTCTGTTTAGCCTTGGGTATACGCTGAGCTGGCCATGATGGTCACGTTAATTTGGCAGCATAAATCCTGCCTTGTCAGAGAAACAGTTCTTGAGTTCAGCACTTTCACGATAGTTTGACGAATAAAAAATTAACTACCTTTCTCCCAACATGTCATGTCCAAATGTCATTCGTAGACAAGATAAGCAGCGTACCAGTGTAGATCCGATATTCTGAGACACGCGTGCATAAAACCTACGGAAACAATGAAGTACCAACCTTATCGCAAGAATTAAAGGCTACGCAGTGGGCGATAAGGCGCATGCGGATATTACTTTTTCGGGGTCCTGCATCAACGGTAGAAAAATCTGACTGGTAACAAATCTCTGGTAGCTGCGCTGACCCGCTCCGGAAGACCCAGGCCTTCTGTTCCTCCACAACCTTTGGACAAGGAAGAATGAAGAGCGCTGCCCTGGATGGAGTACATCACCCGAGGGGTTTGCGGGCAGGAAGGGTGCCGTGAACGACGGTATTATCTGGATAATGGCCTCTGGTTCTGCAGGCGGGGTCATCAACAAGAGGTCTGATCTTCCCCCTCTCTCCCGCCCCTCACTCATTCTACGCACGCGACCGATCAGCCCACTCATTCTCCATTTGTCGCGTAGGGACGTCAAGTCGAAGAGGATCCCGAAGACTTTAACACACAAGGCCGGACAAGTCGCGTAAAGAAGGCTGCAGCGGAGAAGTCTCAAAAGAGTAAGAGAGCCTCCAACCTACCATAACTACAACCACCACCATCATACTACCATCATGGTTTGAAGGTGACGCGCTCTCCACATCGGCTAATATCGGGCAGCATACCGGGGACGCCAGGCCTATAGTCTATTTCTGCAAGTCTACCAATTGATCCTCTGGAAGCAATGTCACGCGCTGGTCCATCACCGCGGCTTTCCGTCCGAGTTGGAGGTATGCATGACATAGCCCCCCTTGGGCAAACCACTAATGAATGGCTCACTGATGCATGCATAGTCTGTCGTTCGCGATCTTTGGGCGCTCCGATTGGAGACGTATGCCGAGAAGATTAATGATCCTTCAGAACAGGATGAGGAGCCTGAGTTCTTCAGCTCGCAGGTAACCTCGGGCCTGGATGGATCCGACGACACCAGGTTCAGAGGAAGGCAGGCGACATGGCCTCGCCTTATTGATAGCATTGCTTTGTGCTATCTAGGCGCCCTGTTAATGAGGCTTCCAGTGGGTGTGGGGGATTTCTATGGGTGAGTAGTCAAGTATGAACCACTTTGGATCTTGCAAGGGCTAAGTGAATGTTTAGAATGGTTATGCGTGGTGATGTTCCTTTCATCAGGATTGTTAAGATTATCCCTCGAGATATGAGGGATAAACTGCCACAAGAGTTTATTTCGATACTTGAGACCACGGTGAGTGCCTATGTTAAGTCAGGAAGAGACGGTCGTGTCTGACTATATGATAGAGGCTACTCCAAGCCGAGCACCTTCACGGCGCTGTCTCAGACCTTCTGCTGCTTTATCATAACAAATTCAACATGCAATTCCCATCTTTGAACTGGCCAGTCTTGTTATATAAATATGTCAAGAGACTTGCGCTCCCTCGTATGAGACGCCCCCGTCTTCAATCATGCCTATTTGTTAACCTACTTGCAGTGGATATTCACCCCGCCGCGAAGAAGTTGCGGCATCTTCTAGGGTTCGACTTTGAATACCCTACAAGCATATCTGGAAGGAGGAGGCCACTCCAACTGCCCGAGCTGCAACTAGTCGCTCTGGTTGTCATCACCACCAAGCTTCTGTTCCCGTTTGACGATGTTGAAAGATATCCCACGACTGTTGAAGAGCCCGCAGTGCAAGTGATCGACTGGAATCTTTGGTCGCAAATACAAAGGCATTATGACAATCGAGAGACGCCTGCGGGTCAGCTTGGCAAGGGAAAGGAGATATTGGTGACTGAGAGAGACGTCTTCAGCATGACGCCATCCCAGCTCGATGAGTATATGAATTGGTACGAGAATAGCTGGCTCGATCCAAGTAAAGGTATGAACAATGCCATATTTTCCCCTCCTCAGTGCTAAACAATGTTCCAGTATCAAATCCCCTCGCAGATCTCTTTCCGAGTGGTCCAAGTGCTGGAGACAGCCAGACCACAGCTCCTACTCCAGACGTAACAGATGAGGAAGCTCTTGATGAATTGATCAAGGTGTCCACCAGCCAATTGAGATCAAGACAGGTCATTGCAGATAATGACCTGGAGACTCCACGGCCGGGATGCTCCTACACGCGGTATCGAACCGAATCTGACCTTCCGGATACTGCGAGGTCCTTCTACGAGACAGCTGCCAAGGTAGCCGGTGTTTCCCTATCTACATTGATTAGGGCTGTATCACAAGCGGAAAATAAAATCAACCGTTGGCTTGAAGAGCAGCGGCGGGTTGAGTACTTTGGATCGATGGGCATGGGATTCACTCGGGACTCCAGTCCGGATCCAGACAATGATGAAGAGAGCATGTCTGAGCTGGAGGATGGTGACTTAAGTTGAGCTTGGCGATCATATATACTAGGGAACTGAGCCAATTGGGTCCCGTCTTTGAAGTAGTATATAAGTATCAAAAATAGAAACATCCTATACTGTTAGTCCTTGAGGTTATATTTTCCCTGCAAATTAAAACTATTTGAAGGAAGGCTGATTTGCATCATTGAGCGCTGATGTCGGGTCGAGCATCATAAAAGCATAACCAAACGCGGACCGCGGACCACGGACCACGGGCAGCCTCCAACGTATGGATGATGCTAAATGGATGATGTAAAAGTAGTAGTAGTCTACGGACTAATTATGGAGACTGCGGAGAGGCCCCGAACGCGGCCGGACTGCCCTAAACCCTGATCACGTGCGGTCCGTTCCACCTTTGCTAAGCGAGAAATCGTGAAATTGACATCGCCTCATCCGACCGACCTTGTCAGCCGATCGTCAGCCAGCAACAACGAAAACCGCAGCCAGTACGTATACCCTTTTCGTTCGTGAATGCGAAATGCGTGTCCTCTGAAGTCGCAAGCTAACATGTCGTTTTTTCCGCGTCTCTGCAGTGCAGATGTAGGTCATTCCAAGTTCCCTGGCAACCACCCGTCGAATCCCAGCCCGAAATCCGAAAGAGATGGCACGAATAATATCATCGAGAATGAATCAAGGAAACTGACCCAGGCTTCTTTCCGATCAATAGTTTCGTCAAGACCCTCACGGGTAAGACCATTACCCTCGACGTCGAGTCGAGCGACACCATCGACAACGTCAAGACCAAGATCCAGGACAAGGAGGGTATCCCCCCGGATCAGCAGCGTCTTATCTTCGCTGGTAAGCAGCTTGAGGATGGCCGCACCCTGAGCGACTACAACATCCAGAAGGTATGAAATGAACCGGTTCCGCGAAATATCTATACGTCGATTTCGTCTGCTCGGATAGTCGGTTACGAACATGATGCGATTTGGGTCGGTTGGGGCACCACAACACGCAACTAGGTTTTGAGGAGGGGGGGATAGTTCCATCGGCACGGTCGCATTCATGGACGTTTCACGACTATCGGCATCTGACGCGACATCAATCACTCGGGATATAGTTTCACTGACGGGTTATCTTCTCGACTATAGGAGTCCACCCTTCACCTGGTCCTCCGTCTGCGTGGTGGTATCATCGAGCCCTCCCTTAAGGCTCTTGCCTCCAAGTACAACTGCGAGAAGTCCATCTGCCGCAAGTGCTACGTACGTCCATCCATCCATCCATACTACTTCCTTACCCTCGACTCGATCCCGCCCCTCTTTTGAGTCCCGGCTAGCGAAAAATCCCCCCCACTAACATTGATAACCCGATTAGGCCCGCCTTCCCCCCCGTGCCACCAACTGCCGCAAGAAGAAGTGTGGTCACACCAACCAGCTCCGCCCCAAGAAGAAGCTCAAATAGACGATTATCTTATTACGGTTTTTCTGCGTTGCTGGGGAAAAGTGCTGCTGGGGTTACGATACGATTGCAACGTGGGAGATTTTCTACATGGCGTTGGAATGATGAATCATTACTTATAGCCGAAGTCAAATGTCTATAGTTGACTCCTCGGGAAGAAGTTGCAATCAAAGCACAACCTGTAAAATTCAAAAAAAGCTCTCGTCGCATTCTTAGTAGATACACATACACACATGCAGCACGGCTTGGTGGAAAGGAAAACGTTCAACAGACAAAACGGCAGGAACGACATCAGAAATAACAACACTTGAGAACATAAACCAGCAAGTCGACACATGATATGACATGACATAATGCTGCCGGAGCAAATGTCATGGTCCCTCACAGGGGAAAGACAGCAACTGAAGAGTATAACAACCGGAGGGAACCACACCGATACCAGCACCGACATCTAGCACCTTTTCTACCAACCACCAAACATCCGTCGCTTGTCGTCGTCGTGGTCATCGTCGTCATCGTGGTCCTTGTTTTTCTTCGAAACGGGACTTCCATGTCTGCACATAAGCCCATATTAGTCACAACCCTTCGCAGTAAGATAATCCCACAAGAGGTAAAATAAGAGGGAACCACGTACGCAAAGAACAAGATCTTAATCGCCAACGCAAACCCAGCATGCAGGACAATGACCAGAATCAGCAAGATCTTACTAGCCTTCGCATCCGTAGCACTAAGCACCGGGTACAGATTGCGCAGGAGGAAGAAGACTGTCCACCCGAAGCCAACACCCACCAGAGCCCAATTCAACGCCGTCAAAGGACTCCAGCTAACCAGTGCGACGGCAATCCAAACCAGGTTCGAGTACCCATAGAGCGCCCACGACTCAACCAAGTCCGCGCTGGAGCTGCCGAACCACTTCAGCGCACCCCACAGCGCAATGGGAATGATGCCTGTATATCCGTAAACTAAACCCGCGGCACCGGATAGCAAAGTGAAATCGTATTCGAAGTGCTCGTCGTCATTGTTGGAGAGCCATTGCGAAATGGTACCGGTTAGGAAGAGGATGACGACGACGGTGGTTGCGATCCAGAAGGGTCCGTAGAGGTCCGGGTTTCCTTCCAGGACGTCGAGGAAGTTGCTGCGCGGGTAGATGGCTGCGACGCAGCGGCGGAGGACTTCGTTCGTGTCGACGTCGAAGAATTGCGAGTAGTAGTGGATTGACCACCAGTTGAGCTTGGAGGGGGTGCCGCCGGGGGATCGGTCACGGCCGCGCGACGAACCTCCGCCGAGGAAGGGGGCAGAGTCTTGTTGGGCTTTGGCGTTGCGTTGGTCGTTTTCGAAGTCTGATAAGAGGAAATGTGAGTAAGTAGGTGTGCGTTGGGATGAGGTGGTGGTTGTGCTCATGGCCAGTTAGCTTACTGGAACGGTGGAATTCGAGGTCTTCTTGGAGGTCGGTATGGCCGAGATCGCCCTGGAGATTGATGTTAGTATACTGCGATCGGAGATGCGAACTGTTATTGGAGTCTTACTTCGGCGTCAACGTCCACTACCACATCATAGCCCTGGTTCGCCATCTTGGACAGCTCACGTTCGTTTTCAAGGGTGGTTGTTGAGCTCTCGGTTCCTGGGAGATGCGGGAATGCAAGAGTACACCTCAGCGGCTGCCGGGAAAGCCACGCACTAGCCACCATGTGGAGACTGTCCATCTATTCAACACGGGCTGACGCGGGCTGTGTTTCGCATTTTGTGCGTCCGCCTCTACTGTCTATTCTGTATGCTGAAGCTGTTCTTTGTCTCGTAAAACTAACTTTCTCCCTATTAGCATGTTTTTATAACCTGTCTTTAATATTTGTACATAAAATCCCAAGCCTTATTTCTGAACCGGTGCCTTTTTGTCTTTCCCAATGGTCACATAAGATTAAAGATAGCCTCGGGCCTGCAAGGCCCCATGGAACCTACTGACATACGCCCATATCGTATTGTCAAATCCCCTCTTCTTGATCCAGAACGACATAGCACCAATGAACATTGTCACGGCCACCGAGCCGATTGTCCGTCTGTGATTCCACAAGAAAGCGACGGTCTTCTCCTTCCGCTCTTCCCAACGTAGATGCCGTACTTGTTTCGCGAAGAGGTCGACTGTTTCATCGGGTCCTTGGATCCTGACGAGATCCCTTGAAGATTTCAGCACACTGCACTCTGGAATGCGCTTCCAGGCTCCTAATGGCAGACTTTCCGGCGGGTGAGCTTCGAAAAGCTGCATCGCGCGGGATATCAAACCCTCAAGATCCAAGGGATTTGGAAGCTTGGATAGGGTAAAATGCAGCATATCGGTTTCATCGACTGAAAATTCAAGCAATTCTTTCTTGCGGGAGAGAATGATGGCTGCAAAGAGGTATATGGAGACTACCGGTTCCTGGGCCAGCAGGAAGTCGAAAAGGCGTGCAATGTCGCTATATTCTTGGATGTCGTGAGAGTACATCGTCAGAGTCGCAGCGAGTGCAAAGAATGGTTTGATTTCGGCGAGGTGACGCCGTAATGCAGGGTCTGCCTTCTCAATGATCGCAGGGATCAGCTCTAGGTGTTTCAGCGCTGGCGAAAGGGACGGCAACATGTAATCTCTTATCCGAAGAAGAGATATTTGTGCCACGGCAGCAGCGCTATTTTGTCCACCGAGCACTAGTAGTAGGACTTGAACGATATCATGATAGCCCTGAAAGTAGCAGAGCATGGGAAAGCACCGCAGGACTTGCTTGATCAACTTGGAGAGCTCATCCTTCTTGATAGAGAGCTCCTGGTCAGAGCCTAGTTAAGTTAGACATCACCAATCGCCAAAACAACTGAACGGATGACTTACATTCAGGGTAGTAGACGAATGACCTGTTCACATCAAGCTGAACTTGTTCTTCGTCAATATGTGCAGGTAGACGTTCCCATCCCGTGAAATCGAAATTGGGTCCTCGTCGATCACACTGTAGAAGAATAGGCCCTTATCGAACGTCAGATAATGTATATAAATGGTATAAGGTAGCGCTCACAGGCTGTTCGCCGGACATCATCATTGAGGAAGCCACCTTCTGAGGTAGCGTATGAGACTAATGCATCAATATCACGCAAGTCGCATGCTTGGCGAATTGCCGATTCTTTTTCGGCTCTGAGATTTTCGAGCTCCGCATTCTTGAGTTTCTCTGACTCTAGGGCCTCGGCCTCGGCGGCGGTCTTCTGCTCTGTTTCCAGATTTGTCTCCGTGATGTGCTCTGGTTCGTTATTCTCAGATGGCTGATCCATCGTTGAGGCGGGGAGTATACTCCAAAGAAATTGTCTGCAAAAACCTGCGTATTCCCAATATTGGTCAAATGAAACAACTTGACGATATAGTTTTTATTTGTATCCCGATGTATAGTGTTAACAATGAGTGGTCTATACTTGGATGCAACGGATGAACGGGCCTCTCGCCAGATCAGAGCTTGCGTTTGGGAATCTCAAAATCCGGTTATGGGATCCAGTCTAGCCCTGGCTTCTCCAGATTCACCGACAGGACCGCAATCTAGGCAACAAAATATCTATGGGATAGCATAGGCGATATGCAAAGCCGGAGGTGATTGCGGCCATGGCCAAACCCAAAACGGACGCGTAGCCGCCTCAGGCTACACATCAAGTCTGTGTCCCGTGATCTGTGATTTGCTTGGTTTGATCTGTATCGCCGACCGCCCGAACGAGCAGGCGAGGCTTTGATGATCGATCCACTGCCCCTCCAGATTTCCTACATGGCTGGCTGAGGTCCTCACGAGTCCCGGAGCCGCTGTTGATTCATTCGCAGGCAACTAAAACTGTCTTACTCAAAATTTATTCTGCTGGTTCACAAAGATAGCTGCAGACAATGCTGCAAACTCATAGTGGGCCGATGGCATCATACTAAAACCAAACATATTCAATTGACCTTCCCGCGAACCGCTGGGTTCCACTGCCGGAAATCGTGTTTAATACGACATACTACTTCCCCGCTGTCTGTGTCCCATGAACGCGTTTCGTTGTCAGGCACAAGCTTCTGGACAACCAAAGGGTGTTTGGGTAATTTGAGAAACCATCTCAGTATTTATTGCTAGCACCACCGCAAGCGTTCCCATAAGAAATCACTGGAGTGTAAGTCCCAAATCCTTTGTCCTGTGACAAGTCTTCCACGAATTATATTTTGCTAATGCTCCAACTAGGTTTCTGTTTTGCATAGCGGTGTCTGAAATTACAGACGGTATTCCTCTTTGATCTGTACTCGCATGGTAGCACTGCGCTCTGTGTTCCCTTCGCCTCTGGTGTCTCAGCACTTTCCTGACATGAAATTGCTTTCTCATATTACTCCAAGCATGAAAATTCATGAGCCATATTCTTGAGACCTTCCCTCCCATTCTTCTCTAATCTTTCAGCGCCACGGAGGTAGGACCCGGTATCCTTCGAAAAGCAGCTGCGGACACCGTTGATCAGCTATTCTACTCTTTCGTTTCGTTTTCCTTTTCTCTTTCCGCGCCTCTCTTTCTACTCATTTTGTGTCCTCTGGCCATCCTTTCGTTTGGCAAGGGATCACTCTCTGTGGTTTTACGGGCCCTCTTTTTCACAGTCAATCAGAGAAGCTACCATGGCTACATCAGGAAGCGGTGCAGGATTAGCCGCAAATAATTCAGTGACCGTTGCAGGTGGAGGTGGGGATTCGATGGAAATCGAGACAGAAAGCATACATTCTGCATCCCAGGCAAAAATCGGACTATTGTCGCATACCCTAGTATCAAGTCCTATCATTCAATGGATTCTCCCTGCGCATCTCAGAAGCAAAGACCAAAACGATGTCGTCTTCGTGGGTGAGCGCCATTTGCAAATCAAAGAAGCAGTATCTGGGGTTCATCTGGAGGAGGTCACTACCAAAAATGACTTTGACTCGTGTATCATGGCAGCAAAAGTCATTAATGTCAGCACCGAATTGCCTTGGGAAGAGGAGATGAAGCTCGCGGCGAGCAATTCGACACTGCGCGCGAGCTCGGACTTGCGCCAGGATCTTCCTCCACAAATATTGGTTCTTAGCCTTGCTTCGAAAGAGCTAGTATTTTTGTACTTTTCGAATGCGAGTGGCCAATTTGTCTACCATCGTCGGCCGCTGCCGAACGATGTCAGTGCTTTTGAACGATTCGGCCGGAATATTGCTGTGGAACCAAGGTGTGCCTCTTGAGGAACCTTTCCGTGATGATCATAGGCTGAGAGTTGTTGCAGGTCTCGTGCGGTAGCAGTCAGTGCTTCAAGTGACTATTTTGGGATCTTCGTCTTGAAGAGGCCGCCGGTCATTCAAGCACAGATGACCCAAAACAGACTTGACCCTATAGCAGAGGTATGTTCTGGTTACTTCTAGATACTGAAATGCGACTAACCTGTGTGGTCACTTATATAGGAGCGCTTCTTCCGCGTTGAAGGCGATATAATTGCCATGGAATTTCTGTATCCCAAATCTGAAGACGGGGACAAGATCACTTTACTACTATTGATTGCTCAAGATCAGTTGACACAAGCTGTTTGTTACGAATGGGACGCGAACGAGTCTTTACGCCAGGCTACCCCACGGGTGACCAAAAAGGTATTGCCGCTGGAGGATAGGCTTCCCACTATGTTGATTCCCTTGACTAAGACTTCTTCATTCATGCTCGTCACGACGACATCGATAACGGTATACCAAAATAAGCTTGACCCTCAGAGACTCCCCAGCAGATACCCGCTCCCTGTCTATGAGAAAGAATCTCAAAAGTCACCGCTTTGGACCAGATGGGCAAGGCCATTGCGCAATTGGTTATACAATCAGAAACATGATGACATTTACCTCTGTCGCGAAGACGGTGAAATAACGTACTTGGGAATTGGCACTGACGGCGAGCTCGAGAATCAGGCACATTTAGGCCAGCTGTGCTGTGACGTTGATGCAGCATTTGACATTCTGGATATTGGTTACGAAGGTGGTGACCTACTCCTTGCAGCGGGCACCACCGGTGATGGCGGGCTATTTGTCCAGAAGGCTCGCGACCATCCGCGGTGTGTGCAGAAGTTTATGAACTGGACCCCTGTCACCGACTCTGTTGTTGTGAAAAGTGAGGACACGGTGCCCTCGGATATTGCAACCGATCGCCTTTTTGTTTGCTCTGCTTCTTCGTTCTCACGAGGTGCAGTAGTCGAGTTGCGGCACGGAGTTGAAGCACAAATCGGGCTCATTGTTGCGCTGGAGGAGTTGTCTGGAACCAGAGATATATGGACCATGCCAGACGGCACGACCGGAGGTGTTTTTGTTCTAACATCTGACCCTATGTCCTCACTTTTATTGTACTTGCCAGCTGATTTTGGGGAAGAACTTTGTGCTATTGATGAGGCAGAGTCCGGGCTTGACTCTAGCACACAGACCTTGGCAGCAGGATGCACTGTATTGGGAGCTATCTTACAAGTGACAGACAAGACAATTTGCGTGGGCACAACGCCAGAGATGCCGGGCTATCGCTTTGAGGTAGATCCTGGCCAGACTATTGCGGTGGCTGCGGTTGATGGACCGGCCTCAATCATCGCTGCTGTTGTTAGGACACAAGATGAGGTACACCTTCACGTGAAGAAACTCACGTCAGATGGCCAGCATCAGTTGCTTGATCTAGCTCCACCCTCGTTAATTCAACATGAGCCGGTTTGTATGACCATGGAGAATCTTGACTCGTCCCTATTTCTGTTTCTAGGCACGAGCAACGGAAGGGTCTTGGTGTATCGCATCTCCGAAAGCATCTCTTTCTTAGTGGAAGCCACTGTCAACGTCGGGAGTGAGAACGACATATCGAGAGCCATTGATAGTATTGCTGTCATTAGAAAGGCCGATGAAGTTTCACCGAGAATGTGCACTATTCTATGCGGTTTGCGAAGCGGTATCCTGGTTCCATTCGGGTTATTACTTGACAGGGAGAACACTGACGCCCCCATTGGTGAGACCCGATCTAACATAAATTCAACATCCCTATGCTAATCAGGTTTGTATGCAGCATTAACCCAGGTAACGCCGCAACAGCTAGGCCATACATCGGTGAAAGTGCAGGGAAAGGGGGAGTTTGCATTGTTGACCTGTGGACAAGGGTTCTGGCAAGCATCTTGCAACAGCGGACTAGCCGATTACTCTCTTCAGAGAATATGGGTCACCGACCAGAATAATGTGAGTATCATGAGCTCGTCAATTCAATCATTAATACTAACACCCTTTAGCCTGCATACCACCCAAAAAGCATACATAGCTTTTCTATCTCGTGTTCTGGGAGTCAAGATATGGATGGGCTTTCCAACACGCTTTTCTGCGTCGCCGACGGACAGCTCATGATATGTACTTTGGAGCAAGGGACGAAGACTGTTCCAAGGAGGATCGACTTGCCCGGTAGCGCTAGCAGACTAGCTTATTCACGATATCTCAAAAGCTTGATAGTGGTTTATTCTCAGACAGAATACGACACAGACGCAGACCCCATCAAGCGCTACACGCGGCCCTTCATCGAGTTTGTCGACCCTGACATGCAACACTCGCTTATTGATTCCCTCGAAAATCCGTTGGATGATGATCCCCGGCCGTGGCGACCTCAAGGTGCAGCAGGAGAGAAGATCAGCTGCATACTGGAGTGGACGCCCAGGAAAGGTGACGAGGAATATCACTTCATTGTCATCGGCACTTCTCGCAAAAATCAGCAAGAGCGTGGCCGAGTCATATTCTTACAAGCTTACCGCGATCCATTGAAACCGTCGCGGATTGAATGCTCTGTCAAATATATTCACAAGTTTGAGGGTCCGGTTTTCGCAATTGCACCATACGGTGCGTTCACCTTAATGGTATCGACGGGTCACGAAATCGTGCCACTGGAGCCAAAATTCTCGCAGACTCGATGGGTCCGAGCGGCTAGATACTCCGTCCTGTCTCCGGCGGTCCTCATAACCGCCAGGGAGCCGTACCTCTACATGACCACGTCGAGAGAGTCACTTATGGTGCTCAAGGCCACAGAAGACAAACTAACGCTCCATGCTTATGATCGTCAAAAGCATGATGGTCTCGCTCATATTTATATTGGTGGAAAGCTGAACCTTATTCTATGCTCCAGCAGAGGTGGGCGGGTGAGCCTTTTGACGGAGAATGGTGTGACAGAGACCAACAAGATGCTACCCACAGCTCTGTGTGAAGCACACCTCCCCTCGTCGGTGATGAGGCTCAGTTCTGGCTCTGATAAGTCACCTCTTTCCACTACCTCTCA